TAATTGTTCTAAAGAACATCATGACTAATGGGAAAATATGCTTAATATGAATGTATAAGTAGAGCATATATCAGATTGCACGCTGTCTTGGGGAGGAGTAGGGAGAAAAGGGAGAGGGGAAGAAAATTTAAAACTCAAAATCTTATGGAACGGAATGTTGAAAACTAAAAATAAATAAATTATCAAGGAATTTTTTAAAATTCATAACTGTATTTCAATGTAATTGGTTCTCTATAGAATCCTATGTGTTTTATTTTATGCATTTAAAAACATTATTCTGAGGAATCCAGAGGCTTCACCAGACTGTCAAAGGAGTCCATAACATAGAACAGGTTAAGAACCTTTGCTTTAGAGAGGAGTCACCATCACGGTGTATGACTGCTTAAGAAATTGTGGGTGAAAAAGACTCATGATGGAAAATGCTATCCACATCCAGAAAAAGAACTATGGAGTCTGAATGCAGATCGAAACATATTATTTGTTCTCTTTTTCTTTTGTCTGTTTCTTTCTTGTGGTTCCTCCCATTGGTTCCAATTTTTCTTTACAACATGACTAATGTGAATATATGTTTAACATGAATGTACATGTAAAGCCTATATGAGATTTCATGCCATCTTGGGGAGGGGGGAAGGAAGGGAGGGGGAGAAAATTTAGAACTCAAACTCTTATGGAAGTAAATGTTGAAAATTTAAAATTAATTAATTAATTAAAAAAAGAAAGTGTTGGTAAAGGAGCTGGTAAACCTCCCACTAGAAGGAAGGCAGCTAGCCTGTTGCAGCAGATATTGGTGACAACTCCAATAACAGTAAGGCTTGTAAAGGCAGGCATTTTGCCACCAGATCAGTACTTCCTCCAAAACTCTTCCCTTCTAACACCAACCCCATCGCCCCCACTCTCGGTCCAATCAAGTTTTTCAGTTCAAAAAGAAAAGTCCTGCTCATACCACCCAGAGTACCCCAGGTTTGTTGAATGTATCCTAGGTGAAGAGGAATACCTGGTAGTCGGGGCGACTCCCCAACTTCCAGTAACTCCTTCACCCCAGGTCCTTCTTATTCTGAGTCAGAGTCTGAGCAGAAGAATGTGAATGCAGCGTTGGTGTGAGGATGCTTTGTGTATACTACCAATATATGTTTCTTTGATGTATATTCTGTTTTGCCATTTTATATAGTATATGCACGTGCTATGTTTCTGCTTGTGACCTGCATATTTGGTTACTCTGTGGTTTGTATTATATATATGTGTATACATATATATATACACATATACACACATATATGACTTGAAACTTGAATTTTGGTTGTATAGATTGCAGGTTTTGAGCAACTGGATGCACCAGAATTTTTTTTATTCCACCAAGATTGCTTTTGTTGGCAAATCACTGGGGTAAGGCTCAGCCCAAGTATAAGGCTCAACTCAAGTGTCACCTCTTTCAAGAAGCCCTCTGATTCCCCTAGTTGTTAGAACTGTCTATCCTCCCCCATCACATTATATTTATTTTTTGTGTGTATATATATATGTGTGTGTGTATAGAGAGAGACAGACAGAGAGGCAGAGAGATAGACAGAGACAGAGAACGCTTGTATTTACTTACTTGCACAGTTAGGTGTTGAAGTGGATAGAGTGCCAGGCCTGGAGTCTGGAAGACTCATCTTCATGAATTCAAATTCTAAACTCAGACACAAGCTGTGTGACACTAGGCAAGTCACTTAACCCTGTTTGAGGAACCCCATTCCTCATCTGTAAAATGAGCTGGAGGAGGAAACGGCAAACCACTCCAGCATTTTTGCCCAGAAAAGCCCAAATGGGGGCAGCTAGGTGGCGCAGTAGAAAGAACTCCAGTCTTGGAGTCAGAACGACCTGAGTTCAAATTCGGCCTCAGACACTTTATATTCAACTAGCTGTGTGAACCTGGGCAAGTCACTTAACCCTGATTGCCTCACCAAAAAGAAAAAAAAAGCCTAAATGGGGTCACAAAGAATCAGACACGACAGAAAATGACTGAACAACAAAAAATTACTTATCAATCATATGCATCCCACCCCCACCTCCAAGTATAGAATGCAAGCTGCTTGAGGGCAGGGATTATCTCAGTTTTGAATCTGTATCCCCAGGGCCTACCACTGTGCCCTGTATATGTATCTCACACTGTAACTGTTACTATGATGAATTTTTTTTTTAAAATAGCAGCATGTTCATGGACCTTAGGTTAAGAACCCCCAGCTCTAGGGTGTGTTCATATCCAGTGTGGGTCATTCTTCTTTGTTCCTTGTGTGTTTGCCTGGTCTTCCTGGAAAAATTGTGAATTTCAGATGACAGGGACTAAGCCCTGTGTATGCCCTTTGAGAATTTAATAAATGTTTATGGATTGGTTGCTAAGAAAAATAAGCCAGGGACAGGGGACAGGAGAAGAGGAAGGGGAGAGTGATTTAAAGGAAAATAAATGCAACTGGGATTTTCAAATTTTTGGGAAAGGGAGGCGAATTGGAGGATGTATCCTTTTCCACCTTCCCAAAACGGGGAGCTGAAATGTGGAGAAGTGTTGAATCCCACAGTACTCCTGGGAATACCGGGGAGAAAAGGGAAATTGCAAGAAGAGAGGAAGGCATAAGAAAGAGGCACTGGGAAAGAATTGATCCTGAAGAAACCAGAGGCAAATGCTGACCTAGAGTTGGTGTCGATGGAAAATTGCATCTGGGGCTAACCTCCAGATCTCAGACTCCACCCATCCCCCCCTCCACCTCACCCAAGCCCTCTTAACTCTCTGTTGTTTTTCCACTTCTAATAGGCTCATCTAGCAGATTAGAGGTCTGATGCAGTATCCTAATTGGAAAGATGCTTCCCATCAGAATTCATAGGACTGTTATTTTTTAGAAGTTCATTTCAAAATTTAATAATGAGATATGGGTGTTCCCAAATGATATGCCATGTGGGAGAATCACTGATGCCCAGCACTGCCCAAAGCATTTATTTGTCAATCAAATCAAATCAAGTATTCAGTGCACAGGGTACACCCGACACAGTGCTGGGGAAGGAGAAAACAGAACCAAAAAACAAAATTCTGGCTAACCAGAATCTTAAAGTCTAACTATAATACACAATGCTGGATCACAAGTGCAAAAGAAATTTGCAAAACAAAGTACTATGGTGAGGTCAGAGGAGGAAGGTCAGGTGGAGGATTTATGGAGAGCAGGCGGAAGGCAGCTTTTGAGTTGGGCTTTAAAGAATGGTAGGGATTCTGACAAAAGGGTTGGGGGGGGGGAGGATCTACACCTGGAATTGTAAGAGCTCAGGCACTTTTGAGGGTTAGAAAGTAGTCTTGTTTTTTCTGGAATGTAGGGTACAGGGGAGCAACATGGGGTTAAAGAGTGACACCAGCCTTCACTTTCTCTGGTGGGCTGTAGGGAGCCATTAGAGATTATTCTGCAGAGTGATTGACAAGATCTCTGAATAAAAAAGATTATTCTGATATTCATATAAATATTGGATGGGAGGGGAGAAGATTCTTAAAATCCAAATTCCCGAATTTAGCATCTAAACACTTTGTCTTCCGGCTCTAGCCTGCTTCCAGGTTAGTTGTTAGGTAATTGGGGGCAGGGCTCAGGCCCTTGAAGTGGCTTGAGGGCTGAACTTGGAATCAAGAAGACCAGAATTCAAATCCTGATCCATGAAATAAAGATAAGAATAACACCTATCTCACCAGGTTGTAATGAAGAGTAAGTGACCTAATATGTAAGGAAGGTACTTTGCAAACCAACTCACTATATAGATACTATTATTATTAATGCACATTTCTCTCTGTTATACACTTTTTCAACCAAACTGGCCTACTTTCTGTTCTCTGTACATATTCTATTTCCAGTCTCCACGCAATTGCGAAGATTCCCCTGGTGCCTAAAAAACATACGTCCTATAACACCACTTTTTAGAATCAACTACCTTCCTTCACAGCTGAGTTCATACCACCACTTTCCCTCCCCCCCAAAAGAGTCTTTGTATTTACTTTGTATACATTTTTTGCTTATCTCCTAAAATGTTACCTCCTAATAGAGTATAAGCTCCTAGAGTCCAGGAATTGTTTGAGGTTTTTTCCTCTGTGTAATATGTGCTTAATAAATGCTTTTGAATGAATGAATTTTCCATCATGCACATGGTGGCGGGGGGGGGGGGGGGGGGGGGAAGGCTGCGGCCACGATTGGCAATGGAATCAGTTTTTCGGCTACTTCCCCCTCCCCCCCACCCCCACCCCGCCCCGGTATTGTGGAGCCAACGGGCAGAGAAATGAAGAAGAGAAATGAAGAACGGACGAAGGGAAAAGGAAAAGATAAAAGGCGTACACAGGCAGTGCTGAAGAACAGTTTAATCCCGAAGTTGTTTGTCCTACTAGACTACAGGTTGAAAATTCAAAAAGAGTTGATACTTTGTGACGCTTTTGCTCCAAGTATGGCATATTTTGTTCTCCACCAATTACTTTTTACTTTAACCAGGTATGCTTCCATTCACACCACCAGGTGTAAGTGTTTGGGGCTGGGGGGGAGGGGGAACGTGCGGAAGATCATCAGAGTTCGTAGAATGGATTGACTTGAGCGGAAAACTGAGGTTTTTGTTAAGAAGTATTTCTGGAGTTCTAATACTCTCCCCTCCTAGATTCCTAGGAACTTTACTTCCTTCACTCTCACAAAACCTCGGAACTGTCCAAATCTCAGACCCCACCTTTTCTATCAATTGTCCATTTTCATGATAATGGCCTTGGGGAACCCAGCGGGCAGGATTACCAGGTGGGGGAAGCGATATAAAAAGGCGGCCCAACTGATACAAGTTCACACCCTCTTGTTTAGGCCTTATTCATAGGTCAGCTACAGCCTTTGTCATTTTTGAGTCTCTCTATTTAGCATTTCTGGAGCGTTTTATACTTTGCAGAAGACTTTGCCAACTCAAGGCTTTTGCTCCTCGACTTACAGCGACTGCCCAGGTTGGACCCCTTCGAGCATCTTCACTAAAACATGACCTCCAGTTCTCACTCGCAGCAATGCCAGTCCTGCCGACCAGAAGGTGATGCCAACTGCCCTTATAACACCTGGATCTCCGCGTCCCAGCCAGAGCCATTTACCTCCCCAAGCCCTTATTCTAATTTCCAAATACAAAGTCCGGAAAAGCTCCATCCAAGCAGCACAGGTGAGCCCCCTCTCCAAGGTCCCCAGCCAGCACCTAGGCAGCTCAAGTTCTTTTGCTCAAGGATAGTGGCAGGATATAGAAGCTTCTCTTTCGTCCACCTCTCGCTTTTGGAGAATGATTCTAGCCCACGGAGTAGTGGCGGAATCTCTATTTCCCCCCTACCTGAAGAACTGGTTGGGCTCCAGAGTTTATTTCTCAGTGACAAGATCCCAACCTTTAAATAGGTGGTCCTCTTTTTAACTTAGCACTGGTGCCTATGGAACTCCTGGGGCCTAGCGTCAACCTAAAATAGTTCTTGGGCACCACCATTCTGTTCTTGTTTGAATTTACTTACATTTGTTTATTCTGTATGTCCTTATATGTGTTTGTAGAGTATAAGCTCCTGGAGAGTAGGAGGTTTTTTTTTTTTTGGTAGACTATAAGCTTCCTGAAGAGTAGCTTACAAAGGTAAGTGAGCACCTAACGCAGGTTGCTTACTTACAGTAGGGGATGAAAAGAATGCTGGTTGAATTGGCTTGCGCAGGTGGACGAAGTAAGTCTTCCTTTTACACAATGGCCTCTTTTCCACTAATTTGCTCTACTAATGGTTATTTCTATGGGCTGGTCAGGATGGCACCTGGTTAAGGAAAAGGGGAGGGGGGGGAAGAGGAGAAGCCTGCAAGCACCTAGTTTGTACCCGGTACTGTACTAACCACTTTACAGTATAATAAAAAATAATATGGTATGGTGTAGTGAAAAAGGGCCAGGCCCTGAACCACGCAGGTTTGAGGTTCAAATCTCTGCTCCTTATTTACTGCCTATGTGACTTAGGGAAATCTTGTCACCTTCTATTTCCTCACGTGTAAAGTGGGGGGGGGCGGAGGGGCAAGGGGGGAGTGAACAAGGTGACAAGTAAGATCCTCTCTAGCACTAAATGTACAATTCTTAATAACTCGAATTTCAATTTTAAATAAGATGGTTTTGGCTTTTTGGGTTTTTTTATCTTAGTTAATTACATATGAAATAAGGTTTTGAGAAAAGGAGAACAACTCAAACGGTAGAAGAGAAAATTGTTAGAAAGATTATTAGATAGTATTGGACCTGGCTGTTTGGAAGCAGTCTGCATTTTTCTTAGGTCTACTGGAAAGGGCTGAGAAGTGGTGCAGTTCCACCAAAATTTGCTTAACTATGGCTATGTAAAAGAGGGACTTCGGCTGCTGGTGGAAACTGAGAAATCCTGGACCTATTCAAACTAGGTAGTAAGGTATGTGAAAAGATGACCTTGGGGTCAGGAAGAACTGAACTCAAGAAGACCTATTTCTGATCCAATTCACTTAACCCCAGTTGCCCAAGTAAGACTAAGTTGTAAAAGGTGTCTACACTGACGTTGGTAGAGGGATTTTCCCCACCCCCCACCCCCACCCCTGGAGTTACATATATTAAAGAACTCAAAAGATCTGACCCAAATTTAAAGGGGGTAGTAGTAGCCCATTAATTTGGCCATAGAACGTCAAAGAGATGAGTCAAGGCTAAAGAAAAATTCTCTTGTGGGAGAAGCAATAAGAGGTTGGTTAGAGGAAGAATCTGATAACTCTGTTTAGGGGAATTGATCAAGGCTATACAAAGGATTAAATGGGATCAGGTTATTTGTTAGAAAAATATGACCTGAGGCTTGTTAGGCATTCCACTTGCCCCTGCACGACTCAGTTATTTAACGATATTTATCTAGAGTTCTTTGGATTTTGGGGGGAGGGGACTGGCCAATGGGGTTAAGTGATTTGCCCAGGGTCACACAGCTAGTGAGTGTTTTGTGTCTGACGCTGGATTTGAATTCGTCCTCCTAAGTCCAAAGCCAGTGCTCTATCCACTGCCCCACCTAGCTGCCCCATGGATTTTTTTTTTTGAAAAAGGAAGTTTTAGGAGCAAATTATTTCATTCTTCAAAGACTTGTACCTCCTGAGGAACTTAAAATTTAGTTTATTGTGGGTGATGAATGTTTTTAAAAGTATGCATAAGACATGAGGTATAATATCGTATAAAAGATATAATAATTTCTGTCAGTGACAGAAAGTTCTTACTTTGCTTTCTCTCACCATTTAGCAATTTCTCCTGCTCCTCCTTCATCCATGGATATGTTTATTCAAGATATTCCTGACTCTGCCACTAGCCCGACTTCAAATAACCTTTCCTCTCAGAACAAGCCCAAGATCCATCAGGGAAAAGAAGATCAGAGCCTGGTCAAAAAACCAAAGATGAGGACAGTGTTCTCTCAGGCTCAACTAAATGTACTCAACAGTAGATTCGTGGAGCAAAAGTACCTCAGTCCACAGCAGATCCGAAATGTGGCTGAGAATTTGAACCTTACTTACAAACAGGTAAATGTTTGAGGAATTAGTGGGATAGGTCAGTCAATCAAGAGGCATCTTCTATGCCAGGCACTGTGCTGAGCTTAGGTGGGGATACAAACAAAAGCAAGAGACATAATCCTTGCTCTCTGGAACCTTATAGTCTAATGCAGGAAACAACACACATACATACATGGTGGTAAAATAGACATAATCAAGAAAGGAAGGATATTAGCTTAAGGGGAATGTGGAAAGGTCAGCTTTAGAGTCAGGGAATGGAATAACAAGGGTCCAGCTCTGCATCCAGGGACCAGAGACATTCCCTGAATATTATGTCCTATTTCATTCAGAGCTAATGCAAAGTGGCTGTTAGAAGAAGTACCAGAATCTTTTTTTTCTCAAGGAAATCTATAGATTAATATTTGTCTCCTCCTTCAGGTTAAGACCTGGTTTCAGAACCAGAGAATGAAGTCAAAGAGATGGCAGAAAGACACCATGTGGTCAAAGAATGGCAACAGTATGGGCATGGTTCAGGTAATGGAAAGAAAAGCTTTTTCCCTTGAACATAGTATAGTTTTTCAGGCTTCTTAGCATTTATTGGTGCCCATGTGAATCAAAATACTGCTTTTCTTTTAAAATGTTTTATTGATGCTCCTCTCTCTCTCCCCTCCCTCTCACCCTCTCTCTCCCTTTCTCTCCTTCCCTCCCTTTTTCTCTTTTCCCCCCTGTCTCTCTCCCTCTCTCTCCCCCATGTCCCAAAGACTCACCTATTAAATTCACCTTCCCTGGTAGCAAATGAGTACAACCAGACAAGAGGAATCAACGTATGACATTCATTGCCCTTATATGAAAATAAAGGGGAATTCTAAATGCTTTAATAGTTTCAACCTGCACTAAGATTTTTAGGATACCTTTCTTCATTCTTCACCTATAGTTCAACACCTCTACAAGTGACACATATTTTATCAGTCCTTTGAAGTCATGATTGTTTTCATGTTTTCATGATCAGAGTTTTGAAGTTAAAGTACTACTATTTCATAAGGATTTGGACACTCTTCACAATTAAATTAATCTACTCACTTCTTCTTTCAGAATGGATCAGCTGTTGGGGACTACATAAACTTCTACTCTCCATTGCACCAGGACTATATGATGAACCCTTCTGGAAACCTTCCAGTATGGGGCAACCAGACTTGGAATAACCAGTTCCAGAATGTTGGAGAAGGCGCTTATCAGCACCAGATATTTCAGCACCCCTACCCTGCCAGTGACTTAGGGGCTACCTTTGGAAATAATACTAGTGAGGTCTATTCCATGAAACCACAGACTACTATGAGTTTTAATGCCCCCCACACAGTGGAATATCTCCCAAACTACTCCATGAACATGCAGCTGACCCACAGCAAGTCAGAAGAGGACTATGATTATCGGCAGGCCAGTGATGCTCAAACACAATTCTTAGATCCCAGTGGGGTACCTGTATTCCAGTCATAATCTGGGCAGTTAATTTTTCCTCTCAGAAAAAGTACTCTTTCCAGGTATCTTTACCACACTGGTTTCTTTTCCTGCCTTTTTAGTATTTCTGTTATGTGACTGTTGTGGTTAGTTGGTTTATATGAGTGAAGGCATATCTTATGTGCCAGAGGGTCACTATCCTCTTTAGATTTTGCTGGCTGGCTCCAGGTTTAGGCACTATTGGACTATATATAGAAAGACCTTCAACTTCAGAATCCTGATCTAAATGACAAGATGAAACCCAGTATCAGTTGAAGAAGATGGCATTGAAAAAGCATGTAATGAGGAAAGGCGGGTGGGTGGGATTTGATGCTTTTGGGTTTTAAACTAGGGTTTTGGTAAAATTATGGTTAGGATAGTAAGAATGCTAGTTCTTTCTGGATTTTATCCTTAATATATTCTTTTAATAGAAATGATATAAGTTCATGCTTGTGCCTTCCCTCTGAGATTATCCCCCAGTTTATCACTGTATATGTTTTATTTGTGCATAGTTGTTTGCATGTTCTATCTCCCATTAGATTGTGAGCTCATTTGAGGACAGAAACCATCCTTTACCTTTCTTTGTATCCGAAGTGCTTAGCACAGTGCCTAGCACATAGTAAGCTCCTTAATAAATATTTGTTCATTTGACTTGACTTGGCTTTTACTTTTCCGATACAAAAAGCTAAAAGGTATACAAGAATCTTACATTGATATTTTCCCTACTGAGACATGAATTTGCTTGAAATCTGTTTTGTCTTTTCTAATGAAAAGCTCATTTGAAATCTTGATGCCAAATTTTGTTGTTGCAAGTTGATGGACTGATCAATTTGAGTTAAATACATTGTCTCTTTATAACTTTTAGATGTCTGTGTGCCCTGCTGCCACATATTCAATGGATAACATCTTAATAACTTCAGCCCAGATATCCCTACGTTCTTGGTATTTTAAGAGAAGGATATATCTTTGGGTTTGACTTGAACTACTGAGCATCTTTTTATGGTGAGAACATTTGTGACCCTGAGAAAATCATTTAACTATGCCCTGATCTAGGCAACTCCAAGACTGTACCTTGCTAGACCTAGGCATCTCCTCATTTGAAAATTACCTGTCCCAATGAAATCAGAGGTTCCAAATTGTAGATGTCTCATCTCTTCTGCCATCATGTAACTTTCATTTGAATATGTCCTTCGTTCAGTTATATGTGTTTATGTATCCCATCTCTGCTACAGTCATAACTTTAATTTGAACATGTCTAGTTTTTTCATTAAACCTAGTCACTGCTTCCAGAGCAATGCATCTCATGCTTGGAATAGCAACTACTCTTCTCTATTCCTCTATTTCCTCTGGAAAATGGCCTCCTTAATCTGCATGACAAATGTCCCAACCTGGGTTCACCCAAACAGAGTAGCCACAAAGCAAAGCTCAGACTTGACCCAGGTTTTCAAATTTTACCTAAATGACTCAAAGCCTCTCCTGTGTTAATTGATGTTTGTTTGATTTTTTTAAGCTATGCTTTTGGATGTCTTCTCTTTTGTAGTGTCAGTGCTACTCTTCACTTTGGGTACAGGGCATAAAAAACCCAGCAATCTAGTTTCAGACCAGATTAAATTTTCCTATTAAGTCTTGTAACCTGAAGTTTTTGGTCTGGCTCTCAAATCGACCAGATGCAATTGTTAATGTGTTTAGGGCACTTGGAGAGAAGCATAAAATTTTGTAGCTGGGAAAAAATTAGATTGAGTCGGAAGCTCTCATTTTATTCCTGAGGACACACAAACTTAGGGTTGGGAAGATGATTTGATCAAGGTCAAACAGCTACTTAATGGCAAAGCCAGGGGTAATTGACTTTCTAAATCGGTGCTTTTGCAACTAGTAGGCCACATCAATATTGACCAAATTAATCCTACCTAATAAACTGTTCCAGAACTGACACCTTGGCTAGGAGCTAAGGGAGGTAACTTAAAGGCTAGAAAAACCAGATTGTGAACACCTGCTCCTTCAGTAAGTAATGTAAATATGGAAAGGTGAATGATAGAGCTTGAAGACATGGCTGAGTACATAGACAATCAACACTTTGAGATCCTGTTTACATAGTTTAAGCAAGAATAAAGGAGGAAGAATATATTGGAACTAAAGATTGTGTTTTGCAATTACTGTGCCTAATTGAGTTTTCTAATGCATAACCCTAAAACTGTAGAGGAAAAATAAAATGTGTCTAAATAGAGAAAAGTTAGTTTAAAACTGTTACATTATCAAATGTGGTACTCTAAAACACACGGAAGGTTAATTAATTGAAACCAATAGTAAGCAATGAGGACTTTCAGGAAAATGTAAAAATGGAGAGAAAATGAGGTGGTAGGTGGATAAGCTCGGGCCTGAAAGCCTGCCTATTCACATGCTTATTCAGTGACTTCTGGTGAGGTTAGTTCTCAATAGCTTGTCTTTGAAAAAACTGGGACTAAACTAACTTGATTTGTGAAGCCAGAGAGGATAGGTGAATTCTTAAATCCGAATGAGCAAAAATGCCGTGCTGTAACCCAGGGAGTTAATAATACAGAAGCTACTCGTTTAATAGGTTAATATAGGTTAGTACAATTCTGAATTTAGATTATATGTAAGTGTGGATTCATTGGGCTACAAAGACTGAAAGGCAGGAGATATCTATATGCTTAGCTACAACTCCAGGGAAATACTTGGGATATTAGTTCTTTCCCACATTTCTCCTTTCTCTTCCCACATCTTTCTCCACCACTAGCTGCCTGCAACACCTTTTGTCTCAATTCTCCACTTTACAGAGATTTGTTGGCTGGAGGATAGGAGATTCTGCCACTTTAGTAGTTACTTTTTTGTACTTTATGTTTGGAGTGGCTGATGCTAAATATCTTTGTCTGATAACATGCAAAGGGATTTCTCACCTTAGAAAATATACATAGGAAGAGGAGAGTAAGAAGCTTGGCTAGCATTGAAAAACAACTTTGAAAGTAATGGCCTTTACCCCTGTTCAGTTTGATTCAGTTACCTATAGAACAGGGGATAAGATGATTGATGCTACCCATTTCACAGGGTTATAAAGAAAATAAAGTATATGAGTTTATTAAAATGTAAGAATTGCTTTTTAAAAAATGGGTTCATATCATACCCATAAATCAGTTGAAATTCAAAGTCAGTCTGTATAATGGAAACTGAAAACCAGGAGATGAGTCCAATTGTAGGACTATAGATCCATTTCTTCATCTTTCCTCAGCAGTGTTGTAAGGAATGTCAGACACTATTCATGTAGCTCCTTTGTGCCAGTACTTTGAAGAGACCACCTCAAATCCAATGTGTTTTATCCCTGCTTAAGAAGGATGGAGCCCTGAACCTTTAAGGTTATAGATTAGGATTCCTTTTCCATCCCCAGGGCAGGTGAAGACCAGATCTTCCTTCCTAGGTAATCTGTCCTATTAATTGCCAAAAACTTACTGGTTTTTTTTGTTTTTTGTTTTTTGGGGGTTTTTTTTTTGCAGTCCTCAGTTTTACTGGATTATTTTGGCTGCTGCCAGGAGAAGAAAAGAAAGGCATAGTAACAACCCAGTGATGAAGGTTGAACAAGTAATATTTATTAGCCCCATTTATATCTGGAAAACTTGAAGCCCAGAGGGGTTAAGAAACAGCAGAGCTAGTATTTTTTCTATCTGACTCAGGTCAGGTAAATTCAAGACCATTGATCTTTACATTAAAGATGGATGACCCTATGAATAGAGTTCTGGACCTGGAATCAGGATGTCCCTGGGTTAAAACTAAGATGCCACAAATGGAGTCACAGAGGTGGAAGAGATAATTAGGCCAGGAAGACTAAGAGAAATTCACTTCCCAGGTCACAGTACAGGGCAAAACTGGGATTTGGACCCAGGTTCTCTGGCTCCTGCTTTTCTTGATAAGTTAGACTAAACTTACTGCTAGCATACAAATATGAATGAACATTATTTTTTAAAAGTTGACCAACACTGGCCTCCTTACTGTTTTCCTTCACATACAGTAGTCCATATTCTAACTTCACTTTTTACTAGCTGTCTTCCATTTCTGGAATTTTCTTCCTTATCTCTGCCATCTGGCTTCCCTGAATCCTTTAAATTGGAACTAAAATCCCACCTGCATGAAGCACACCCAGATCCTCCTTAATGCTAGTGCCTTGTCTCCAATTTACCCTGTACATATCTTGTTTGTACATAATTATTTACATGTTGTCTCATTAGATTGTGAGCTTCTTGAGGGCAGGGATTGATTTTTTGTTTTGTTTTTTGCTTTTTTAGGCAATTGGGGTTAAGTGATTTGCCCAGGGTCACACAGCTAGTGTCAAGTGTTTGGTCTGAGGCTGGATTTGAATTCAGGTCCTCCTGACTTAAGGGTCCGTGTTCTATCCACTGTGCCACCTAGCTGCCCCGTGGGATTGTTTTTACCTGTCTTTATACCCCCAGCTAAGTTTAGCACAGTGCCAGGCACATAGTAGGTACTTAATAAATGTTTATTGCCTGACTGGTTTCATAGTAGAGCACCTGACTTAGAAAAAAAAACTAAATAATTTTCATTGACTTTCCCACTCCATTCCCTTCCTCCAGGTCTCACCCCTCCCTACCTATTGCAGTGAAGCTAACTGTGGAGTAGTGAATTCAAGAGCAGCCTTGGAGTGAAGAAAATCTTAGTTGGAATACTACTTAGTTAAATCATCTCACTTCAGTGCCTCACTTTCCCTATCTGTAAAATGAGGGGTTGAACTCAGCTTCTAAGGTTTCTTATTTATGCACTAGGTGTATGTTTAAGCATATATCATTTTTTGTATATTTTCTTCTCAATTAGGATCTGAACTTGAGAGCAGGGACCATGTTTTTGCTCATTTTCCCAGCACTGCTCAGCACATAGAACTTAATAACTACTTTTTGACCAACTGGCTGACCTTCCAGTTGTATATATGTGATCCTATGGTCAGACATCAAAGAAGCTAAGGTCATCCACTGCATCTT